GTGGGCTGTCTTACAACAAGGTGGCTTTTGCCAGGAGAACTTCAAAGGAGCTATTATTCTCAAAGTTTCCCATTAACAGTCTCTTCCATACCATAGCTGCTCATTAGATATTATGTATTGCTGTCAATTTGTAGATAAGACTGGTTAGGTTTGTCTATTCTTACAAACTCTTGGAAAAATGGAAGACTAAATTCCTGGGGAAAGGTGGATGGGAAGAAGATAGAGAAGGGAATCCTTGAGTATCCGAAGGAATAGTTAAATTACTTTACTTTTCCTTGTCTTATCAAGACTTTTTAAAAAAAAGAGCAGCTGTTTCATGCTCACTCATTGGCTATTCATTAAATCTTAATGGGACTGAACTGCCACAGATATGTTTTAAACTCAGAGTGCCTTTGCAAATAATAGTGGCTGATTTCCCTGGAAAAGGAATGATATATTTAGAGGCTTTCCTGGGAGAATCAACTGGCTGCAGGGACTGGTGATGGACTGTGGAGCCTTTCACCTCAAGGTCAGCAGGTCAAATCCAAATCAGGCCTGGGGTGGCTGAGAGGCATTGTGTGAGTGACAGCTGTTGGGTGACCTAGGTGAAGGCAACAGGAGTTTCTGCTGCATTTCAAGTGAAGTGAGCAGGTGCTGTCTGCTCAGTCCAGCAGGGATGAAAGAGTGCTCAGAAACAGTCTGAGCTTGGTCTCACTCCCACAGGCCATCTTTGACCCAGCAAAGTGAGGAGCTGGCCTTCCCAGTCCTGAGTGACAGGAGGAGAGCTAAACTGCCCATGCCCAAGAGGAGGGTGTGTGGCTGAGTGGCAGGCTCCTGCTGTGTCATCTGAGGAAAGAGCTGCTTCCTCCAGCTAAACTGAAAAGTGCTTTCCACCTCGCCCACTTCAATCCTCAATCCCTTTCTTTCCAGTGGCTGGCACTGGTTTCTATAACTGAGAACAAAGAAGTGAAGATGCAAAGGGATCAATGGGAAGACTGCAGTGATTAAAACAAATGGAGTAGATTTTCTTATTTTCAGTTATTCAATACATTTCACACACCAGACATCTTAGATTCACAGCATCCTGGATGGAGATGGAGTGTAAAGCATAGGAAAGATTGAGGTCAGAATTTGGCAGGTACCTCATACAAAGTTTAGGGTAGAAAGCCACATTAGTCCCACCCTGTCATTTGACCTTTGAAGAAACTGAGAACCAGACAGTTTGAGGTGGGTCAATGTCAGAGTCTAAGTCAGCAGTAACAGAGATGATGCCAACTGATGTGATGGTGAGTGGATTGTTGAAAAGATATTAAATAGCTCACGGCATCATAAGTGTGGAAGCCAGCATAGCCAACTGAAGAGACAGAACCTTGACAGAGAGGGCCTTGAAGGCTTTTCAGGGGAGACCCCTTGTACTGCTTTAGCTTCTGGGCCATAGGCTAGGGAACCTAATGCCACACTCTGGGCACAAAATTGGCATCTTCTTGCTTTAAGTCTATTCAAATTTTACCTTCTAGGAAAAGCATTCTCTGTGCAGTGGATGTGCAGTGGTATCATCCTCACCTGTGTTATCCTTTATTGCTTTCCAAAGCACTTGTCACTATCTGATGATTACTCATTTATTGTTTCATTTCAGTTTCCTTCCGTCTAAGCTGTAAATTTAAGGACCTAGACTTTTCGTGTTATTTTGTTTTGTAATTCCCCCAGAGCCCCATTTCTGAGGACTGAAGTGTCCACTAGAAATCACCTCTTCCTTCCAAGAGGACATTCCTTCAGGTTCCAGGTTTGAGCAAGTTTGCAGCTCCTCCCTGGGGAGCTGTGGGGGTGGGGTGGGGTGCTTCAGTCCAGAGCTTTCCCCTCTTTGCTTGCATTTCAAGGTCATCAGGTTCTAAATCACGTTGGAAAGGAGCTTCTGAACAGCAAATGAAAGTCTGTAGAAACAGGAGAAAGGATCACTGAAAACCAGACTCTCTGTGGTGTCTGCATGCCACATTTTCAACCAAGTTTTTGATGGCAGGCTAAAGGGACCTGTCCCCTAGTGTGGCTAAGTAAATATTCCTCCCAGCTGTAACCAGCCTCTCCATTTTCCCTTTTCTCCTCCCTCCTCCTTTTCACCTGCAACCCAACACCCCCTCAATCTATTTATCAGGAAAATAAATCTCTGGGAGGAAGGGAGAGTGGGTCTCTGAGAACCTTTCTGAATAAATGTCTATATTAATGAATTATTAACTCAGCCACCCGTGACCTTAAACCTACAAACCCGAGCACCGAGGGCAGAGAGAGCTGCTGAATCCTTTATTGGAGTCCTGTCAACAGCAACCTCCATTTGTCCCTCCCCCACCAGGAAAAATAATTAATATGAAAGGCAAACTTTCTAATTGTATGTCAAACGAAATTAGACCGAGGGTGTCCTGGACAGATCTCCATCTTGTTTTCCTGCCTTTTCCTTTCTCTTTTCCTGCTCTGGCTTCTGGTTCTGTTCTTCTCCCAGCTAAGGGCACAATGGGCTTCGTAAGGATAATTTTCGGGGAAGAAATGCTCGAGCAAATGATGAATTTGGGTAGTTAATTTATTGATCTTGACTCCTCTTCCCACTTGTTTCATTTTAGAGGTCATTAATCAATGAAGAAAAACACCACTGTGTCCCCCGTTTACATTTAATACACTCATGCTCCTTATTTATTCCTCTGGAACAAATTCCCAGCAAATATTCACCCATCGATTTGGGAGCAATGGATTTTTATAAAGGTTTGATCGCTTCCTAAGTGGTCGAAGTGATTTGTTTCCATGGTATAGTAAGTACTGAGGAGGAGAGGCGTGGATTGAGGGGGCATATCCTTGCAGTTCACCTTCTAGTCACCCAGCAACACACAAAGGTACGGTGACCCAGTGGCCCAGGTTATGGGGTGAGGTGCTCGTTCTCAGCCATCCTTCCCACACCGCACTCACAGTGCTAGCCCAAGGTGTGAGGTTGCACTGGCCTTTGCCTCTGCTAGCCCCAAGTGGTGGCCCTGTGTGTGTGGGGAGACTCAGACTTCTGAGGCACTGCCCTGCAGACCTTCCCTCCTCTACCAGGCTTCCTGGGCAGTCTCTCTAATTCTGCCGGTCTCCTTTACAAAGTCCCCTGTACCCTCAGGGACCTCAGGTCCAGTCTTCTCGCCCCTTAGGTGTGCCTGGGGCTGCTGATCGAATCTATCAGATCAGACATTCCAATTATAGGCCTGGAGGGAGAGGGGGCCTTTAATACTTTGTTTACTCCCTCGCCCCCAAGCAAGCCACAAGTCTCCTGGGATACTCCTTGTCATCTCTGTCACCAGTCTGGATGGAATGAGGGTGGAGTTTGACTAGGATGGGTACGAAGGTGCACCTGGTACCTCCCCTGGCAGGGTTTGAATCTGCCTCTCGGTCACTCCTTTGTGATCTTAGGCAACCTACTGAGCCCGTCTGTACCACAGTGGTCCCCTTCCATGATGGGGGGATTCATGCTAATGCTTTCCCCAAATGGCTATTAGGAAAATGAATGTATATAAAGTGCCAATTCCACCTGGCACATCTACAACTCTCACTAGCTAGTCAGCTAATTGTGCTATGATGAGAAACACACACACACACACACACACACACACACACACACACACATTCCCAGAGGGTGGGCAGCACGAGGCCTCAGAAGGCCAGTAGCACATCAAACCCCCAAGACTTTCTAGTGGGAGAAGGCGTGGGGAGAGATTCTTTGGGACTTCAAGCCCTAGAGACTAGGCGCTTGGAAATAGCCATCCGGTTTGGGGCAGAAACAAAAAGGAGGCAACAGGGCCGCTGCTTTGGAGTCCAGACCTCATCCTGGGTTCGCCCTGCCTCTCCCAGCCAACAGAGAAGGGTCCTGATGTCTCAGCAATGAGCGAAAAAGGTGCGCAAGCGTTTGCTCCTTCGCCCGCGGCCCAGCAGCTATCCTTAGGCAGCTCTGCAAGCAGTGACTGAAAGGGGCCTGGACCTCCACCCTCCCTTCCCGAGGGAGTCGTCCGAAGTCTGAAGTCTGCGAAGACCTCTGGATCATCTTTGGAGTCTACAGAGCCGTGGGTTTCCCCTCGTGTTTGCCTTAGACCTGGGTGCTATCAATCTATCCAGGGATGACGGATGACCTTGTCACACGGACGCTAGTGAAAACATTTTTGGTCCAACTCTGTTCCAACTAGCATCCAGGCATCATGCGTGAGGCCCGGAAAAAGTCCAAACACCCCGTTTCCCATGCTTGGATAAAATGAGCGGTGGGAAGAGAAAAAGAAACGAGCAGATACCAGAAAAAAATGACTATTAAATTTTCAGAGTGGCGAGTGCTAAATTAATTGGTTTGTTTGGAAAAAGATAAATGCCTTCTCTTCTCTGAGGTGTGGACAGAATTCTGGCAAGGGGGAAGCGCCGAGTCTGTCAGTTTCACACAGCCTGTCGGTGTCCTCTACTCCCAGTACCACTAATGCCAGGTGCCTGATTTGTGGATGCCAGAACTTGCACCGAAGAGGGCTGCGGCCCAAAGTTCTGGGAAGGTACAGCGGGGTGGGGCTACGGGCCCCCTCTGCATCTCCGAATACCGGGTCTGGGGAAGAGAAACCTACGCTTGACCTCCAGGACCAGCCCGGGCTGCAGAAGGCAAACAGCCTCGCCAGTGCCCACCAGACAAGCTCTGGCTACTTGGCTCCCGTTGCCTACAAGGAGGGAAGGGCCCCTTAGGAAGACACCCCAGAGGGCGCGTTGCCTGAGCCCTGGGGTGTTCGGACTCCACTGCAGCCGCTGCCCTGCCCGGCCATGCTTGGATCCCGCCCCGACGAGCTGCTCTTTAGAGACCCTCTCCCCCGGCCTTCCAGCTCCGCCACGCCTGACTCCTCGGCAGCAGATCGAGGGAGGGATTCGCTCCAGCGCTCAGTCCGCCCCTAGCTTTTTTCCCCAAGAGGATTTATGTTAGAGGTTGCCTGGCGAGAGAGTCGACTCTGGCACCCAGCAGCACTCCAAACCCAGCCAGGATAAAGCACAAACTCGGTCCGGGATCAGATCTGCTCGCCCTGCAGAGTGCCCGCTGGTCCGGCGCAAACACTCGAGCGCACGCAGAGATGCATTCTGGTTTCTGTATTTCCATTGCGTTCAGGATCCAGGCACTCAGCCGGATAAACCAAGGAAAGACACAACAGGCAAGCAGGAGCCGTCACGCCAGAAACGCGGGGGGTGGAGAGCAGAGAAGGATTTGAGCGCGCGAAGGCGCACGGGCTGTAGTGGGGCCAGCCCACTCAGAACTTCCTTCTTCCCTCTCCCCTCCCCTCCGTTCCTCTGGTCGGCCTCCTGCCTCCTCCCCTACCGACTCCTCGCTCTCTCCACACACCACACACACGCACACACACACTTGTGTTTTGTGCTGTCGTAAAACCCACGTGTCCAACCCGGAGGTTGCCAGAGCGAAGCTGAGGAGCCGGGAGGCGGCGGCTGCCCAGCGGCGCAGCACTGAGGCGCGTCTGGCCAGGGTCTTGCTGGGGTCCCGTGCTCGGCGGCGCTGCTCTCGCGTCCTCGGCTCGCATCCCCAGAGGGCTCCGGGCTGGCCGATCGCGGAGGCTCACCCCCTGGCCTCCAAAGCATGTAGCGCACCGGGAAGCACACTGCCCCGCTCGCCGACACGCGCGCAAGCACACACGCACAGCCGGCGGCCCGGAGTTGGAGGTAGAGTGGAGCTCGTCCTGGGCTGAGAGTCCCGGTTGTGAGGGCTGGCGGTCCCGGACGGGGGCAGGGGGCGATACTGTCCCGCCTCCGGTTCCGGAGGCCCCGCGGCTCGGGCGCTGCGCCACTCGGGCTCCGGTGGGCTCCGAGGCGCTGCCGGTCCTGCAGCCGGGCTGCAGCCTCCCAGGGTGGGAGCCGGGGCCGCGGGCCGGGAGGCGGCGCAGGGCGCACGAGGATCCCTCCCCGCCGGCCGCGCCGCAGCTCCCGAGTAAACTTTGCGCCCCGGCAGAGTTGGGGAGAGGGCGGGCCGACTTCAGCGCGCATCCCGGCGGCCTCCTTCCCGCTCGTCTCGTCCCGGCCCCGGGTCCGGCTCACGCGCGCCCTCCTCCTTGCCTCTGCCCCCAGCTCCAGGCGTCGGACATGCTGAAGCCGGGAGAGCCCGGCGGCTCGGCCTTCCTCAAAGTGGACCCAGCCTACCTGCAGCACTGGCAGCAGCTCTTCCCCCACGGTGGCGGCGGCGGCGGCGGCGGCGGGCCGCTCAAGGGCGGCGGCGCCGCAGGTCCCCTGGGCGCACCCCAGCCTTTGCAGCCGCCGCCGCCCCCGGAGCGCGCCGAGCCCCCGCCAGACAGCCTGCGCCCGCGGCCCGCTTCGCTCTCCGCTGCCGCGCCCGCCCCGGCCTCCGCCGCCGCCGCCACCTCGTCCGCGTCCTCCTGCGCCGCCGCCGCCCTAGCGGGGCTCTCGGCCCTGCCCGTGGCGCAGCTGCCGGTGTTCGCGCCTCTGGCCGCCGAGCCGCTGCCTCCGAAGGACCTGTGCCTGGGCGCTGCCCCGGGGCTCGGGCCCGCCAAGTGCGGCGGCGGCGACGGCCGGGGCGCCCCGCGCTTCCGCTGCAGCGCCGAGGAGCTGGACTATTACCTGTACGGCCAGCAGCGCATGGAGATCATCCCGCTGAACCAGCACACCAGCGACCCCAACAACCGTACGTAGCCGCAGCCGCGCGCTCTCTGGGGCGCGGGTCGGGGGTCAAAGGGGTGCCGGGACGCGGGACTGCCGGCCACAGCCGAGCCGCACCTTCCACACCGCTTCTACCCGAGTTCTGCGATGCTGAGAACGGCGAACAGTCGGGCTGGCTTCGCGCTCCCCGCTCCTCGCCTTCAGACTTCGCTTTCAGCCCCAGGGATGGGACCGGTGTGGCCTGGGGCCTGGGCCATGTGGACGCCCTCCCTCCCTGGACGGTGCTCCCGCGGGCGGGTCCCGGCAGCGTCCGAAGGGGAAAGCCTGGGGCTGGCCTCGGCTGGACGAGGGAGTAGTCCTGGGCGATCCTGGGGGCGAGGGGACAGGGCTTGGTCTTCCTGCCTGCGCCTCACCTTCGAGTGACTTCGTCCGCGTCTGGGGCCTCGGGACGTCGGGGGTCGCCCGCAGCTTCAGGCGGGGAGCCCTGCCAGAGTGGAAGTTCTGGATGACCACGGGCCTGTCTCTCCCTGCAGACAGGCATCATCTTGGGTCTACTACTTACTTAAAAAAGGTAGAGAAGGAAAGGGCGCGCTACTTAAAGAGAAGAAAATTCCGACTTCTGGGCAGGATTGTTCCTGTGATCCCGCATTCTCCGTGCACCCTTGGTCCTGCAAACGCTTGCCATCCACGTTGGTTTATTTTTTAAAGTTAAGGGTGATAGTAACTTAGAAGAAGAAGCTTACTCTCCTCTCCCCCAACTAACCGATAAATACCTGTGTAAACACCAGGACTCTTCTAACTTGACTTCTACACTCACACTTTCAAACGTTTATCGCAGGTACTGTACAGTTCTATTTCGAGGTTTTGAAGCAAAACTCTAAATGAGAATCTACAACGTATATTGCTTTATATTTCCTTCTGATCGGCAATTACAGAAGTTATGATATGTTTACACCTAAGGTTTGGGAGGGTAAGTGTTAAGTATACTTTTAGAGACCTTTTTCTGATAACATTAAAGCAGATTAAGAGTGTCAGTTGAAATAAATACAGGCTTTTGAAAAACCAGCATTCATTCAGCTATTTTTTTCATCTCATTCCTTCATCTGATGTCTCTATGAGAAAAATTGATCATAATATTTATTTCTATTGTATTTTGAGTAAGTTGCTCCATGAGCTTCTTAATTTGTTGTAAGAGAAAAATAACTTAAATCATGCCAATTTAAAAGATTCCCAGAGTCGTTGCTTTGATGAAGAAACACTGGGCATTAACCTAGTGATTGAAGTGTATTAATTGTTTCATGGTAGTTGGAGGTAATTGTTGTAATGAAAATAATAATTACCAACAAAAAGAGCAGTTTTATTTACTTTTTTTTCCTTCCCAGAACTTAAGGGCAAAATATTGGTTTAAAATGGGATTTTAAAATTCTAATTTCCTGTACAGTTGAGAACTGATATTTCAGAGTTTCAAAACATTTTCTAAATTATATTGTCTTAATGAATTTCAAATACTTATTTCCTAATGAATTTCTTGTATGTGTTGTTTTCAAAGCAGTTCTGAGTGAAAATAAAAAGTAAAAAATGCTTTAGAAAAGGCATTTCTTACTGCCAAGTGAAATGCAGTCCTTGCAAGTTGGGAATGCCTCACCAAGTTTGTAGTTTCTTTTCTGAATTAAATCTGTGCTGGAAAAGACACCATCAACACACTCCATAGTCCTGGCTGTGTGTGGAACTCCTTATGTCGTTTACATTGCAGTCTTGAGATTTAATACATTTTCACCAGAGGAAGCAGAATCATCAGAGAAAGAACTAGGATAGATTACTAATTAATATATGGATATTGAATCAGTTTATTGTCTGGGCATCTCTTTTCCTGTTAGAGGGGATGAATTATGATTTTATTTAAAGTATTCCTATTGTGTTAATCTTCTGATACCTCCCTTTTAGTCAGCTGGACTCTTCAGTGTTCAACGTGCAGGAGAAAGTACAGGCAGGAAAGAATGTTAGATTATCTTATTAAAGCTATACCACTGTTGCTCACTAATTAAAGGGCCATTGAGAAAGAAAATAGAAAGCCACAGCAGCTCTGGTCACGCTGGTGGGCCTCCCCTCTCGCAGGAGCATCTCTGGGCCAGCAGGGTTAGGCTTTGAAACCTGGGGTGTGTTTCACAAATATGAAAAGTGATTGAGTTAAATTTAATTAGGGGCTCAGAAGAAATCAGCCTTACTGAAGACGCTGAGAAACCATTTCCCTTGGCTTGGGAAGTTGGTATGTTGATCACTTGAAAGGCTGAAAACAGAAGCTTCCTCTCCTTCTGGTGTTGTTTGTGGGTGGGGTGTGATGGGAGGCAGGGTAGAGGCAGAAGGAAATCAGCTATTAATTTAGCATGTGTGTATTTCCACATTTTTCCTTTTAGTTTTTTACTCTTTCTCTCTAAAAGAATTCTGTGAAGTGACCATTCAGCATTGCTTCATTTTCTCACCTTGTGTTTAAAAGCTGTCCCATCAGTTTTTCTTAACTAGGGAAAGAAAGGGGCCTGTTTGCTTCTTCCTTCCCTTTGGAAGTGTAACTTTCTGCCTGGGATCAGCAAAACAGTATGATTGTTCTGTAAGAAAAGAACTCAGTAAGACTCATTTCATTATGAAACTTCATTGGCATTGATGGCAAATGCCACAGTGAAGGTGCTTGTAGTTCTTACACACACACACACACACACACACACACACACACACACACACAGATTTTAAAACAGCCCAAACTGCAAGTTAGCCCAGATGAGCTCCTCCATGCATCAGTTTACTCTGTGATTGGAGTTCACTTTCCACTGAAGCTTTCAATGCTTAGCTGCTTTTTCCTTTCAAAAGTCGAGTGCTGAGTCCTGCAGTCCACACACTCAGGGGATGGGGCTCTTTCTTGTGTTACCACCCTCATTTGCTGCTGGGTTGCGCAAAGCCATTGATTGCAGCTTGCTCCCTCCCAGTGGCTTTTTCTCAGCTTCCAGAGCTGTGGCACTGACTGGAACCCTGTCAGTCCTGGAGGGAGGGTGGGCGAAGTGGTTGACGAGCATGCCTGGGGTTTGTATATTTGTAGGGGAGGGGGGTGAGGGTCATCTCTCTGCAGAGCCAATTAGTCTCATACCTTTTTTGTGAAGAAGTTTCTCCCTCCTACCAGAGAGGGAGAGAGACAATAAGCCGGTCAGGGTGTGTGGGTGTAGAGTTGGGTCCCCAGCTGGGGAAGGGTAGTTAGTGTCCCCTCCTGATTGTAGGTGCCATCCTGTGCAGGGGACAGCCTCCGGAACAGAGCTGGTGTGTGCAGGGGTGGAGGAGCAGGGCTGAAGGCTTCATTGTTGGCAGCACCGCACTGGGTTTGAGGAAAAGGAAACCTGGGGCCAACACTACTTTGTCCTGTGCGAGGAGCCCAGTTTTGAGATCTAGGAACGAGGAGAGAGATGGCAAGTTTTTTTTTACTTTTTTCCTGACCTTCCCCAATCTCTTCCCACCCAGTTGGAAAACGCAGGCCCCGGTTGGGGGGTCTCCTGGGCAGTGGCCACCACCTGCGGGCTCCTCCCGTGCCAATGAGGCACTCCTCTCAGCCCCCTGCCCCAGGCCTTGCTTAGATTTCCGGCCTGGTCCCTGAGGGTGAGGCCCTGCGTCGGTGTGTGAGCTTGTATGTTGCCTCCCTTGCTCGTTCTGTGAGCAGCCCGGCCCGTCCCGGAACACACATGATTTAGCTATTTTACATCATTCGTTATCTAGCGCCCTGAAACTGAACATAGAGCCATATATTAGATTGCGGGTGGAAGAGGTGGCGACTGTTTATTTAAGGTGATAAAATGGTCCATCAGCAGTAATCTCCATCGATATGTGCCACCAGGAGATGAAGGATGAGAGGACAAGCCACAATTAATTGCCCTGTAGTTTTGTAGGAGAGAGTGGAGGCGGCCCAGACCCGCTTCGATCCCTCGCGGCTCCTATTCATCATCCCCGCGCCATCCGCGGCCTCGCAGGGCAGGCGGCGAGGGTGAGCTCCGTGAGTGTCCGCACCCGCGCACACGGGGCTGCGTTTAATTTATTAATACAGTCTTCAGAGACAAAAGCCACAGTTCCTCTTCTCTCCTCCCTTTGTCTCCCTCGGCCAGGCCGGGCGCGCAGTCCGGAGAGGGCGGGACCCTGGGTTGGCTTCTGGCGCTGCTCCGGGAGCTCGGAGGCCCTGCTCCGCCGGGGAGAGGGCTGGGCGGCGGCCACTCCTGGTGCCCTCGCCAGGCAGCCTCGGGCGCAGGGTTCCTGGAGCCCGGACCTGGAGGCCCCGAGCCCGCCGGCCCCTTTCCCCCGGTGGGGTGGCCTGTGGGGCGGGGAGGCCGAGGAGAGCCCGAGAGATCCCGGCTGGCCGAGAGGTTCCGGGCTTGGAGCTGTGCCCGCCGTTGCCCCTCTCACCTCCACAGCCCAGGCTGCACCGGTGCTGCCAGCAGGCGGCACCACGCGGACCTCGGGCGCAGATCGATGGGCATCGGCCCGCAGGGCTGGACCTGCGAGATCAAGGGCGGTGACTTAAGCGTTGGGGTGTGTGGGGGGTTTACAGCCAGAGTGGGTCCCGCTGCCCAGAGGTGCGGGGAGCCGGCTTTGCACGCGCCTTGGTTCCTGTAACCGAGGGTCACGAGGCCCAGAAGGCATCAGAAAGGGATGGAGAATGAAGGCCTGGAGTGGCCAATACTAGGCACTGCGTGGGCACATTTTACCTTTCCTAGCAAGAGGAAGCAAGAGAGAGAGAGGGAGAGAGGGAAACCCGATTGCCCTCTTCCATTAAAATAAGTTCATTTAAAGTAACAAGTTGTACATGCGCTTGTAAAACCATTCAACAATAAGAAGGGTGAGAAAGAAGAAGGATCTCTGTTCCCTGCTTGGCCTGGTCTCCTGAGGTCAGCAAGCCAGTGATGCCCTCACTTCTTCAAGGACCCTAGATGGATCCAGTCAAGCCGGAAAAGGAACCATGGTCTCACCCTGTGCTAAAGTAGCATTCATCTTGCTTGGAGGATATGAAAATATCTCTCATGAATATAGAAAGTCTTTATGAATAATAATTATGAATATATACAAAACTTTTTTCTCTAATTTTAAGGGAAAGTAGGAACATTTATTTGCCTCCCACTTATGAATGCAAATGGACTTATGTGTAGCTTGCCTGGAATGTGTGTATGTGTGTAAAATATGGTGATATATATAAAATACGTTGTATATACATGTCTATAAGTAGACTGGGGAGCCAGCCTGCTTCTCTGTCAAATCTTTTTATGTAGGTTTAAGACTCAATGACTAGAAATATTTTTCTACTAGAATGTCAACGTGTGCCATATTTGTGAACTGGGAAATAAGTTATTGTTTTAAACATCCCAAGCTCCTCTGGGACTTGAAAATATAGGTGAGAAGTCGAATGTTTACAGTTGAGAAGGTTTTGTACATTAAAAGTGTTACTGTAGCATCTATTTTGATGGCAGTCGGTCAACTTTTCTGACAGAATATTGTGAATATAGCTTGAAGTGGTTCACAAACTAAGACTCATATTAGGTGGCCTAACTAAAATGGATTGACTGCTGTGACTACAGTGGACTTAACAAACATGTGGCCTTATTTGATATTGGGGAAATCTTTGTTTTTCAGTACTCTGCAAAATGCGATGATTACATTTAACTCGTTGTAAAGAAAAATGAAACAGTAAGCTGAGGAGGGCTTTAGAGAAACATCTTGGAGAAAAGACGGTATAGCTTTATTCTTACTAATTACAGATATTTTTAGAAGTATGTTTCTTGTCTGTGGGGAGAGTGACTGGAGTTTATTCCTCCTCCTTTTACTACTGATGTAGTTGCTCTGATGTTACATGTGGAGATGTTAGAAGTTGATAGAATCTCTGATATTAGGAGTTGGAGTAGTAAATACTGTTGCTTCTGGCCCTTTGCTTCATTGAGTCAACCAGACAGGAAATATCAACTAAGAAACTCCACAGGATGTTTTACATTTATTTTCATGGGCATATAGCCTTTGTTTATTGTCATTTGTTTTTAGCTATTTTTGCTTAAGGTGGTGAAAGGCTATTTCTGTGGTTAAACACTAACATTCAAATTATAGGCATTATCAGTTTACTTTCATATTCATTCTCCTCTACTCAGCTCCAAGAGTGTGGGAGAGAAATCTCTAACTGAATCATGCTACAGCAGTTTCTGTGGCCCTCAAATAGTTATCTCAGTAAAATATTTCAATTCTATTGATTGAATCATGAGTTTGGGTATAAAATTCTCCAGCTTCCAATAGTCTTCCTAATCTCTGGGTTTGAAGACGTTGGTGTCACGCAGACCCAGCTATGAATCTTTTCTCTATCACTTTGTAGCTTCCTGACCCTTGGCCAACTTGTAGTGCTCTCGAAGCCGCCTTTGCCTCATCTGTGCAATGGGAATCGTGATATTTAGATAACATGGTGATAGTTCAGATGCACAGCACGTAGTAGGTTCTCAGAAATCCTGAGTATTTAGTCTTTCCATTCCTACACTGTTTTGAAGTTTTTATTTTCACAATCGAAAATTTGAGAGGGGTGTGAAGTATGTGTGTTTTCGAGGAGTTGACACTTGTCTAAGTGCATGCTCCCACCTAGGCCTTAGAGTCAGAAGTGGAGGCTTGAACAGTTTAAACAGTATGTGTGCTGCCTGCAGAGGAAGCCCTTGAGTTGAGAGAGGCTCAGGGGCATAGATAACTCACTACCTGAAGAAACACTTTGTTTCTTGCTGCAGTCCCAAGGCACCCAGTTCTTTGGGCTACACTGGGTGGAGTAGAGGAGTAGCAGCTGACTGAGGGAAGCCTGCCTCCCAGGGGACAGTATGTGCACAATCAGCCACCACTTATTAAGAAGCCAATGGTGAATAGTTTGCTCACCGTGCTGGGCTGTAATTTCATCTTCCTTCATGAAAACTTTCTCACTGGATTATTTGTAGCAAGTCCCTTGGGCATTTCAGCCCAGATAGGGCATACCCAGGGTGACCCATCAGGCCTAGCTGTGACAAAGTCCTGCGCATGGTGGCTCAGGTTGGGGTAGGCAGGACGCCAGTGCTGGACCCCCACCCACCCAGCACTGGACCTTCCCAGGTGCCTGGCTCTTACCATCCACCAGTCTGGCCTCGAGGAGTGTCACGTCGGGTCCCAGTGCCACAGCGCTCCATGGCACGAGGATGCCGAGACTCCCCAGGGAGGCCGGGCCAGAGGCGCAGATCACATGGCAGGCGCCGAAGCCGCCTCCTCTGGAAGAACTCGCTGCGCCAGGGCGCAGACAAGGCGGCTCCGCCTGGCCCATTAATAACCTTGAGGGCGCGCACTTCGACAGCGTGGTCGCTGCAGGCCTGACTTCCCGGCCCCCCACCCCCGCCCGCCCTCGGGCCCAGCTCGAGTGGAGCAAAGCTGGGTGCTCACCACCGCCCGCGGGGGTGTAGGGGGACAGTCTACCTGCGGCCTCTCGGGAAAGTCCGAGAGGGACGGCCTTGGCCACAGCTTCAGCTTCGGGAAAGAGATGATCAGAGCCAGGGTCAGCCGTCGGGCCGGAGTGGGGACCCTCTCCACTAAGCCACTAGGGAGCTCATTAGGACCTATTACCCTGGGGGTTAGACTCTCTCTCCCACTGTCACGCTGGGCTGGAGTCCGGGGAGCCAGCGCGGAGGGCCAGGGGCCCGGCAAATAGGGGGGAGCCAGGAGGCTGGGAGAGCCGGCCTCGGTTATTCACCTGCCTTGGGGATGTTGAAACTTATGTCCTTGTAAAAAGGGGAAAACCAAATACCTAGACTTTCGATGTAGACCCTCGGTGAGATGCTGAACTGATTAGGAGCCACACTGTGGGCGGGTGACATGAACACCTCGACACCATAGAGAGCTCCCGCGGGAACCGGGGTCCGTTGGCGGGAGAGGCCAGGCAGAGGCCGAGGTGCAGAGCTGACGGCGGACGCGCCGGGTGTTGAGTTTCCCGGCAAGTGCGGCCCCACACTGTGCACCCAGCTCCGGAGGCTTAGGGAGCCCGGGCCGACTCGGGCCCAGGCGGCTCGGAGGGGGGCGGGCTTGCCTCTCGTGGACTCGCAGGTGGCTCAGCACGGGGTGGGCGGGGAGGGGCGGCCTGCCGACGGGCTGCCCCGACTCCGGGTTGACCTCTTCCCTCCTCCCGCCCGCGTGTCCCCGCAGGTTGTGACATGTGCGCCGACAACCGCAACGGCGAGTGCCCCATGCATGGCCCGCTGCACTCGCTGCGCCGGCTCGTGGGCACCAGCAGCGCGGCGGCCGCCGCACCCCCGCCAGAGCTGCCGGAGTGGCTGCGGGACCTGCCCCGCGAGGTGTGCCTGTGCACCAGCACCGTGCCGGGCCTTGCCTACGGCATCTGCGCGGCTCAGCGGATCCAGCAGGGCACCTGGATCGGGCCCTTCCAGGGCGTGCTGCTGCCCCCGGAGAAGGTGCAGGCGGGCGCCGTGAGGAACACGCAGCACCTCTGGGAGGTAAGTGAGCCGCCGCTGAGCCCCTCGGGCTGGCCGGCCCCGGGGAGAGCCCCTGTGGGCCCCAGGGTGGAGAGCAGATTTCCCGGTCCTGTGATGCCAGGCCTGGCGTCTGAGGCACCTCCAGTGAGGAGGCTGGGAGAGCGGGCTCTGGCGTAGTGTGAACCCAGCAGAAAGGCAGGGCCTCCGGCCTTCTGGCTTTCCGGAAACAGGCACCTTAATGTTCGGTCCCGCTGGAATGGATGACCGATGGTCTCCTTGAAAAACGGGCAGGTTGATGGAGGAGAGGACGTTAGGCATTAGAGCTAGAGCTGGGTGACCTTCATGTCCGGTTCTAAGCTCTTCCCATACATTTCTGTGCCCGGTGAAGAAAGGTAAGCATGGGGAGGAAGAGAGAAAGTCAGGCTGATTTTCTTGGGTAAAAACAACTATAAACGCTCAGTGTGAGTGACCAAAACACGCGTCACAACGTTTAGAGTGCCCACGTTCTTTGCAAATTATATTGTGAATAAAAAAATCACAGATTTTGCTTCTCTCTCCACAAAGTGAAATTATGGAATGTTCAACAAAATAGAAAATAAAAACATGGGAAAATTAGGACCACTTTTGTATAACCCAATACCTGATGCTATTATTTAGAAGTAACCTGTGTAGAAAATGTTAACCTGAGAGTTCTCCCAGAACTTGTGTTTGATTATTGAGGTCCACTCCTGAAGAGATAGATACTCATCATTCCCCACACTGATTTTAGCCACTCCCACCCATGGAAAGTTATTTAGGAAACGCTGCATGCTAGAAGCCATGCCCTGAAGTAATATGTAAATCTGACTAACGTGGTTATGTGAAATAATGAAGTAGCAGTAGTCAGAAAAGAATGCTGATCAATTACCAGGGACCAAGTTGGCATGGGCCTTAGGTTTCCAATAATGGATTGTTTTGAAACAGTTCGCCTTCACACTTTGCTCAGGGCTTGTCGACTTGGTGAGCTGCCTCAAATTCCCTAAATAAAAACTCGTGGGACTCAATACTTTACTTGATTTTTGCTGAGGCCCCACTCTGTCAAACATTGTATCAGGGTCCAGAACACCCATATGACTATGGTGTGGAGTGCTCAGGCCTGTGTTTACAGAACATCCTTGGATGGAGGAGTAACCCTGTGAGCCCATAGTCCAGCAGGCCGAGGTGAGGGTGGTAGCCCATGGGCTGCCTTGTCCACACTTCTGCCCCTCTCTGGCCATGGCTTCCAGGTTTCATTTCACTCCTACACTGTTGGGAAACTACACATTTTCAGTCTTTCAGGCTAGGAATCCTGAATGAAGGTAAAAATGGGCATATTTATATTACCAAAATGAGCTTTGTCTTAAAAACCAGAAATTTGCTTTCTAGAATAGGGCAAAGAGAAAATGGCTTGGTGCACAGATACACAGAGGTAGGCTATAAGCTACAGCTTTTTGCATAAGAAAACTGATGAGTGGGATATAATCAAAGCATCTGCTTTTGAAAGATTTCTTATTTGATTTTTGTTTCTGACTAGTTATAACCTCCAATGTAGTTTACAGTTTATAAAGTACTTCCAGACACTTTTCATATTTTAGTGGTGTTGTTAGGCACTCTAATACCATACAGCTAAAGGTCTGCCAGTACTTTTCTGGGGAAATCATGAAGCAGTTGTTCATTGGCACAGATTTAATCTATGTGAAAATGTTAAGCTGAACACTATTACATTGCCCTTTGGTGCCTGTCTGTTTTTAGAGTGCAGAGGACAAAACCATAAATGTGAAAAAAATCCCATAGTTCTTTGTTTTTGTTTTTCCTAGGAAGGGTTGAATAATTGGGATGTCGGCAGGAGGCCACCACACATATAGAATATTATAGCATATATTGTCACTGAAAACTGTGGAACCTTTCTTTTATGCCTTCACTTGTGCTCGATGAAGTTAAAATTCTGTTGTAGTAAAGAAACTGGGGATTTAGTTCAGTTTTTTTCTTGAAACAATAAAGTGAGTTTCACCTATTGTGTTTAGGGTATATTAGTTAAATGTATAGAGAAGATACAAGGTTTGTGTTGTAAAAGAGACTTCTGGGTGTATGCTTGGATGATCTTTATGTTCCTACTCCTAAATTCAGGATATAATTAATTAATTTGTTTTTATCAGCTGGAACAGCAGTTAGAATAACATACATTTGGGGGATTGAAGGGATTTTAAAACTTCAGCCATGCAAAATGTCTCCTGGGAGAGTATGAACAATGTAATTAACTGGGGCCAGGTAATTTAGCGTCAGTGTTTATAAGATAACATGCTCTTACAATACATTTCAGATTTTTATTAGTATAATTACTTTTAAGAGATGAAGTATATGTTTTTAAAAAATTAATTTTATTGGTACATTTTAGGTATGCAATATAATGACATTCATCATTGGAAATTTGCACCTTTACATAATCTTTCTTAGTTCTTATTTTTCCCCCTTCCCCTGCCCTCCCTTCAACCCCTCCACCTCTCCCTATTTACAAAGACTTTTGTTTGTATTTCTTTCATTTTCTCATATTAATTCCATTTCCTTCTTTCCTTGTCCCTACCCCTCCCACTTCTCCTTCCCCTTTGCCCCTTTTCTTCCTATTTCACATTATCTATTTGAAGTGTAAGTTTTTAAATAAAATTTTAAGCACCAAAATTTATGAAGCATGACTGTTTCAATTAAGCTACATTTATAAGAGATTTAAAATTTTAAGTTATTCCTTAAATGTTAGTCTTTCCTTTCAAACCTATATTCTATGGTGAGATACTTTAATCATTATATTATTCGTATGAGAAAAATCAGTAATTGGAATATACTATAGATCTATATAAGAAATGTTTGGGAATAATTATTTAATGACACATGTAATAAGCATCTACTTAAAAATATATTCTTTTAGATATCTTCCAGAATATCAGGTTGACATGATGCAGATTTTTTAAAAAATCAAAGTAGTTAAATCACGACTATTTCATTTTAAAAGTCAGCTGTAGTTGGGTTTTTTCCCCCAATTTTTTCAAGTCATTTCCTGATGAAGAAATATCTTTATATTTAGAGTTCAATACTCAGATTCTGATAGGTATTACCAGTGTTACTTATCTTTATTTCAGTACAATGAATGGATCAGTAGTCTTTTCTCGTCACTGTTTCCAAGTAGATGATGGATTTTTGTTTTAGTTTACAGTTCATTGTTTTTAGGAAGATTGTGCTTTATTATACACATGAAAGCTTATTACAGAAACAATCAGATTCACCTTACAACTTTAGTTTAATCATTAAAAGCTCTATTTTCTCTGTAGAAAAAGAATTTTTTAGTATATATCAGCCATGTAGTTTGGTTGGTTTGTAAACATTTTTAAGTTAATATTTTCTTTGTGCATTTAAAGAAAGTTAGACATATTCTATTACTTCAGTATATTTTAAATCTTTTAGGTGTTAATAGGAAATGCCAAGAGCTTTTCTTTTCTTCTTCTTCTTTTTTTTTTTAGCAATAATACAAGTAGTTTTTTTGTACTATAAGATTAGCAAATTAAAAGCCAAATTAGTCATTTATTGGCCAATTTATTTTGGTATTCACATTTTAATGTGTTCTAAAAATAGAAAATTCAGATACTTTAAAACAAAAACATTATAAAGTGCTTTAAACATCCATTTTGCTTATATACATTCACTCCAGCAAGACTTGGATGTGTGATACATTGCTAGTTTGAACATATTAGGAAAAAAATCTGAATGTTTTGGAAAGAAAATAGAATTTTTCTCAGCAATTAGTCCTTATTGATGAGTGTGAGATAATTTTATCCTAATGTGTTTTCTAATAAGAGAACAGGCATATTTGATTCCAACATTTATGAAAACATTATCTCAATTATTAATGTTCCCTTTTCTCTTGAGATAAAATAATCTAGTTGCACATGGTTTTCCCTTTCTGCTTAACATCAGAATTTAATATGAGTAGACCTGAGGAATGTACACAGTGCATACTTAAATTTCTACTGGAATAAAACATGGAAGTTTAAAATAAAGTTACAATTTAAGATAGACTAGAATTACTCAGGCCTTTCAACTAAAGTGTGATTTGACAAGAAATTTTAGCAACAGTGACAAAATAAATTGCACTTGTTTTCAACCTAAAATAATCTGCTAATTGAGATAATGTAGTGACTTAGGATTACAGTCAAAGTACTGAAAAGGGATTTGATTTTATAGAATCTGTCTTCTCTTTGCTTGAGTAAATTTGAGTATGTCATTTTCATTTGAACTATGGAAACCTTCACTGTTTTTCCTCAAAAAATCAAGGAGGATAATATAATATGGGGCTTTTTGTGGTTTGATTTTGTGCCATACTATTTTAGATTTAGTAAGAGTTTTACTTTTAACCAAATGGGCCATTTTTCATCATTACCATTTAGCTTAGGTCAAAATATATTAATGAAAACTAATATTAAAAATATATTACACATTGCTAAATGTTTATATTTCAAAACCATCATAGGTAATTGGTGCTAGAAGGAAATGAATTGATTTCATATTTTAAATGTGTTATGTATGTTTTTATAAATGACCCAAGTTTGTATATACAGTACTCTTACACATTTGTTTCTATTTAGATGTTCAAAAATTATTTTAAATTAATCTTTTGAATTAAAATTATTTAAAAATTGTTCCAGTGATAGTATTATATTATATTCTTTATATTTTGCTTTATAGATTTTAGCTCATTTTGGTCTGATTCACTGAAACACCAAAGGATAGAATTATGTGGCTGTCACAGTTATACTGAAGTAAAAATTATGTTTCTTAGCAATTTATCATTTAATATACTAGTCTGATGTCAGGTTGGTTTTGAATATGTCAGTTTTGTGAAATTCAAATAATTTCTCCTTAAAAACCATAGTAATGTTATGATTATGTTTTAAATTATGCAGAATAGCAGCTGGTGTATCTCTCTAGCTTTGCCTCATTTGATTTGAAGATGTCTT